GGTGACCGCAGCAGGAGGTGCGGTTTAGGGGTGCCAAGTAAAAGAGGGCCCCAGTAAGAAGGAAGGTGGACAGACCACTCCGGCCATAAAAATCAGAGGGCTGAAAAATTCAAGCATTTTAATTACATAACTTTTTATACAAAGTACATAAAATTGCTCTAAAAAGAGAAACATCAAACAGCTCTAGTTTTAATCTGTTTCCCCTTTGCGCCGTAGCTCTTGATCTGAAAGGGAAAAATAGCTGATGTAATTAAAAGGGATGGATTGCATTACAATCTCAGTTTCAACTTCAGTGATTAAAGTTCTTATAATGCATTTGGTATGATTAATGACTCACTGTGGGATTAATACAAGACTCAGCCTTAAAAATATGAACTTTAATACAGCAACCATAATTTGTTTTAAATAAGACAAGTTGACTCAATGAAGAAAATGTACTTGGCTTATAAACAACATAAATCTGTTCAAATATCGGGAACCCTAATTATTTTTAAACTAAGACTCCCAGGCAGAAACTTCTTTGGTGTGGATATTTGTTGGCGATCCTGGAATTGGTTTCTAACTACGTAATTTGAATCTCAACTACTTAAACATACACAACCGTTCGGGTTTGCGAGTATAGTCATGGGGACATTTGTGATCATAAGATTTCACTCTTCAATAAAACACCATGCAGATGATGGGAAAATCAAATCCCAATTTATAGCATATTAGGAACAAATTTCACTTACTGAGCATGCTCGGACAAGGTATGTGCAAGGAGGCGTGAATAACAGTTTCGAGCCCTACATCTGGCAGTGGGCCAGCCATGAAGATCAACACAGCCCATGGGGAATAGTTATCTTCAGATCCCATTACAAACTGAGTTTAAACATGTTACAGCTGCTAAAACTGGAAACTGTTCTCTCCATGTAGACTTACTAAAATAATATATGGCTGCCAAATACCTGCTTCCCACTGTAATATTACAGTGAATGTTTATATAATAAAAAGCATAACTAAGCAGAAGAAGAGAGGAAAAAAGCAATCTTGTTCATACTTGAATTTATTTGTCTCACCTGTAAAGTCCCACCATTCTCCCCAGTTCCTTTTATCTGCGTGGTCCTGCCAGGGACTTTATCCCCTTAGACATTGGCAAGTGGGGGATTTTTATCCGGGAGCTAAATGCATGGAATGTTTTAAATTGGAAAGAATATCTTAAATTGACTTCACTGAAAGCATATTTTTATTGTTGGGCAGATAGGTTTGTTTTGCTTTTGTTTGGTTGCCATGGGAATCCAAGGAGCATTGAAGTCTGGCTATTCCAATGGTTATCTCCCTTCTCCCAACTCCATTCTTCAACTGAGATAGAGACATCAGGGGAGACCCTCTCCTGTGAGAAGGATGACAGCATTACCTCCGAGTGTGGGGAGGCGGGGGTTGGAGCAGAAGCAGTGACTTGGGTGGAAGAGACACCCAAGGTGGGCCCCAAAGGACCCCTCCTCTCCAGTCCTGACAGTCCTGGCCCGACCCAGCTCTCTAGATGGGTGCTAAGGAGGCTGTAATTTCCTTGTACAATTTTGCAAGTTCAAGAGGCAGGGCAACATTTCCATTTCATTTCTTTTTTCTTTTATTTTTTTCCCCCTCTTCACTCAACTCAGCAGCTGGCTGGCCGACAGCAGTAAAAAATACATTTCACTTTGCTGGTCAAAGGCCTAAAGCCAGAAGCAGGAAATCTGGAATTAAATGTTTCTTGTATCTGGAAAGAGGCATGACTAAGGTAAAACTGAATCCAAACATAAGCCCTGCTTGTTCAGGCTTCCAAAGGGAGTGTGTGTGTGTGTGTGTGTGTGTGTGTGTGTGTGTGAGAGAGAGAGAGAGAAAGAGAGAGAGAGAGAGAGAGAGAGAGAGAGAGAGAATGTGTGTGTGTATAAAGGTCAATTGAGTGTGTGTTTTTTTTCCGTTCTAAATCACTGAAAGATAATTATAGTGGCTCAGTGAAAAAAAGGCTCCCAAAATAAAACAAGAAAGGCAGCAGCTAAAAGGAAACAAGTAGAAATATGACCAGCTAAGCCCCTGAAGAACAGGGCATGGTCTCGCACGGCACCCAAACAATCGCTGTTCATGTAGGGATTTCCGTTTGCTGCGATTTTCACTGAATGTTTTTCAGTCATCCTGTCATGGTACAATACAATTACCCCACAGGATGTGATCTTATCATCTGATTATTAGAGGTTTTTACAATATAGGGGAGGGAAGCTATTATAAGTTTCTGAACATTTAAGCGTTTAACGTACATGCGATAGCGTTAAAAACAGGTTCGCCAATAGAAGGTCAACATTGCCCAATGCAGGAAGCTGAGGAGGTTTGTACTATATAAAGAATTTAGTAGAATGCAACATGCCTGCGCCTTGCAGATGATTATTCCTCAGATATTTGTAGTACAACAAAGATTCAATCAGTCTCCAGACTGCACAGATAAAAGCAAAAATGCACCTCAGCCCCCAAGAACTCATTACACAGGAGAAATCTTTTCCATGGACTGCAACGCTGAGAATGCAGGCTGGGTTTAAGGTGGGTGGAAGTAATGGGGAAAGAAGCAATGTATTCATTAGAAAGATCCCCCCATGATCGACATCTAGTCTGAGGATTGAAAGCTGGGCAGATAAATGGGTCTTTATTATTATCCAGATTTCACATTTCAGATTAGCAAAATGCTTATTTATGATGCCATTAATGGATCTGAAATAGGTAAGCCATCCTGTATTAAAAAATAACATCTTGCCATAGACATGAGATTTGTAGCAGCATGAGATTTTTTTCCCCCTCGGAATAATACAAGAATAACATTTTCCACCCCAAAGCAGAAACAGTAGGGGAGCCTTTTGCTATCAAGGAGATTCTTATTAAATTCAGTCACTGTGAAAAGCAAGATTCTTTTCTCCTGCTTCTTTTGCTTTCTTTTTTAAATAAAGACAACTTAAAATCAACCCAAATTAAAATGAACAAATCAATGGCATTATAACCTTGATTTATTAGCGTCTGAGCCACTAAATTATCATTATACATGAAATTGCTGGTTTGTAAAGATTTCGGCTTTGTTAAATCTCAAGTTAAATAATGGTGCTCAGTGTACTAGGATTTTAGATCTGCCTCATCTGATATTATGAAAAATTCAATACATTTCTCTACAGCAGAAGTCAGGGGTCAGCAAATCTATTACTGTAATGTAAGTAATCTGGCAACCTGCCAACTCTTTCTCCCTTTTATGATTTTTTTAAACGCCGAGGCAGATAATTTTATATTTACAAATTCTAAAATCCTCCCAGGCCTTTCCTCTCTTTCTCAACAAAAAGCAGCAGCCTTGCTTGCTTTTGAGAAATGTATACCATCCATGTCCTCAACATTTGCATTTCATACAAAAGAAGAAAAGACCCTTCATCTTTATTAGGCAACATTCCCCTCCCCTCCCCGAGGGCAGAGGAAAACTAATGTCAAATCTCATCTGAGCGAGTAACTGCTAATGTCTCCTGTATTGATTAATGCCGGCGTGGAATGACTGAACTTTTGGGCCAAAACATTTAGCAAACAGTACTTAAGAGGAGAAATGAGAATCCATCTATTTATAGAGCTCTGAAAAATGATATTTTAATCATGTTCTGGAACTGATTCAATCTGGAGAGTGGGGGAAAGGAAGGGGGGGATCTTTAGAGTTATATTTGAACCTCACCCTACTTACTTCATAGGTTCTCTTACAGTATCAAACCAGCAAAAAAAAAAAAAAAAAAAAAAAAAAAAAAAAAAAATCCAGGCCCGAAGATCTGCTGGTGACGGGGAGCAGAATATTTTGGGGGCAGAGGGAAATAAAGTTAGCGTTGGCCAA